CCTTTAAGCACCAAAACTTCGAGGTGAGTCACATTATGAGGATTTGTAGTCAGCAATAACCAAAACTGAACTACAAAAGTCATTTAATGGAGAAAACAGAATAAGAGTCCTCAAAACAGAAGTGACAAAAAAAGAATCGTTGAAATGTCTAAGAAACAGAATAAGAGTGTTTCTTTTCTGCAATTATTAAGTTTGATGAAAAAACATTTCAAAATCTTGTTGATAAAAAAGAGAAACAGCTCAAAGTGTATCTTCAAAATCTCTCAGTTAAAATCTTGTTTGATGTCTGAAAACCTATTTTGGTAGTTAAGGGAACTAAAATTCGTACTTATAGGTTAATTAATTAAAATATAGCTGGTCCAATGTTAAAAAATTTCTTTGTTTTTCCTTTTTTTTTCAAATTAGTCGTTAGTATCATGGGTAGCATATTGTTTCGCGTAATCCAATGATTAATTATTAATTTTTTTCATCTGTCTACATTGTTTGATTGAGGCTACTGCGTGCCTTTTCTTAAAATCTCATTTTTATTACTGAAAACTATTGCTCTCTTTAAAGGGATTAGAAATAGATCGCAAGGCCTGATAACCTCTGACTATTTGTTTCAAATTATGTAAACGAGTAAATACTATTGTTTTTTTTTGTTCTCGAATCAAGTAGAAATTTACTATTTATAAATTTAAATGTGTAATCTTTTTGTTGCAACCGATTGACCCTTGTAAAAGAAGAAAAAACTTTGATACGAAAGCAAGACATGGATACGTTTGTGATGAGAACTGGCACAAAATGCAAACAATTGAATCCTAAAAGTTTAATAAACGTTTCATAACTAACAATTTTCTCTTTGCAAAAAGTATAGAAATACATAGCCGGTGCCGGTAACTGTGCAAGTGGCGCAGAATTGGCTGAAAAAAGCAGACAATTAATAAAGTGTCAACGAATCCAAGGAACCAAAAAATAAGAGTTGACTTGTTTCTTTGGAAAATACTTTCGAATTTTAAAACAAAAAAAATAGTTTTAAAGCTCTTTGATTTTTAAGAACTATGGACACTTTTTTGATACAATTAACCAACTTTGAGAAAACTGGATCAATTGGTAGTTTGTTTTCGCGCAGAAATCCATAGATTTAAATCTATTTTCGAAACTATTTTCTAAATCTATTTTCGGAAGACGTTGACCGCATTCATAATTTCTTGTCGAGAAAAATTTTTCAGAATAATTTGACTATGCAGACTACTTTACCGCTACGAAAAAAGTTTACTCTGAATATAAAAGTGGGTTTATAAAGTTAAACACGAGTTTTTTGAACTCTTCAGAAAATTAATAGTTTGAAACCATACTGAATTTTGCTAAGCATTTTTTAGATTAAGGTTGTATTAAAAATCAGGGGTTCAAATAACTTACAATGTTCAATCTAGTTACAACTGTTCTGAAAAAATTCACCTTCTTCAAATGATTATTTGACTTGATCATGTGCAAATAGCGCAATCAAAACATCAATCAATTTTCGGTGATATATTACAATAGGTGGTAATTCTAAGTTAAATAGCTGGATCGCTTTTTGTTATACTTCGCACAGTATATAAAATTTGTTTCAAAGGCCAAATTTTTGGCAAAAGAAGTATGAAATTTGAGTTTTTGAATAACATTTTATTTGGCAGAGTAATATATTTACAAAAACTACCTTAGCAGCACGTGCAATTGATTGAAAAAGAAATGACTATATTATGCATAATAGTTCTGAATTGTAATACAAGCACTATACTAAAAATTACCACCTATTGTAACATATCACCCAATTTTCTTCATTTTTTTCATAAGAACACAAGAAAAATGCCTATCTGAACAATCCAGGGATTTCTTTAACTTTCCCACTTTTGCAAGAGGGGATGAGATTCGCTACAAGGTGTTAAATTCACATATGCTTACCATTGAATTATTTCTTAATAGGGTTGGCAATTCGTTACTAGGTACCACAGGGAGGAATAGTTTAAGAGATCCCAATCAATGGTCCGTTTCAGATATCGCAAACTGGCCCTGAAGTACCATCCAGAGCGAAACAGCGAAGAAGGAGCTGCAGAGAAGTTCCGACAAATAGCCGAGGCTTATGATGTACTCTCCGACAGTGAGTAGCAGCTTCACGCTAATGATTCTAGTCTGCAAGCTTTTAATTACAATTTGCTGCTATATACGCATCTTAATGCGTGCATTTCTGCGATGAATTTATTTGAGTTAAGGTTTAACGAGCAAAGGTTTAAACTGAAACATTTCTAACCTCAACTAAAATAACATTGATAAGTGACAACTTTAGTTCACGTGAAGTCAGGGTGAGACATTCATATCATAATATTTTGACCCCTCAATTTCCTCTTTAAGACAGAAAGAAAGCAGTGTTTGACCAGTTTGGGGAGGAGGGTCTGAAGCAAGGAGTTCCAGAGGGTCAAGACCACACAGAGGCCTGGACACAGGGTTATACTTTCCACAACGAACCTCTCAAGGTCTTCACCGAGTTCTTCGGGGGGCAGAACCCGTTCGCAGGTACTTAATATAAACAAGAATCATATACCTTCATACGCTCGTGAGTTTCCTGTTAACTAAAGAAGGTCATAATTTTGAGTATACGACCAAAATCTTAAGAACCTTGAATATCTTGTAATTGGTCATGTATCTTGGTTACGCAACAAAACCTCCTTAGCAAGCATTTGCAAATGTAAGAAGCCAACACTAGCAAATTAAACAAAAATTCAGACAGATTTTTGAACGTTTCCTTGCGTCGCAAACAGGAACGTCGCTCAGCAAAAAACTGGACTGTGTGGAAAAATAATGGAATTGAAATATCCTTGACAGCCTGGATAGCCTTTGATAGATCCTCTGCGAATCTCAGAAACCGAAACTAACGTTGCGTTAGGGTAGCGTAGACAAAAACAAACGTTCCTTCTCACTTTGTTGATGGGATTTTTCTACCTTCACCCGCCCAGATACTGACAAATGGTTCGTTTAGTTTTGACAAAAAGCTCAACTTCTCTTGTTGTAGAAACTATGTACTATGTCTAGTACGATCAGGCATGTTTCACATCAAAGACATCTTTTTAAGATGTTTCTATTATTTGCAGAGTGGTTTGCAAGTTTCACATCAAATAGATATTTTTCAAATTGTTTCTATTGTTTACAGAGTGGTACGACAGACGGGATGGGGAGCTGGACATGGGATTCGGAGGTCTGCACGGGAGGGGGCGAAAGCAGCAGGACTCCCCCATAGAGCGGGATCTCTACCTGACCCTGGAGGAGATATACCACGGCTGCATCAAGAAGATGAAAATATCAAGAAGAGTGCGTTTTATATCCCTAATGCCAAATTGTTGGCAAGATAATAAGTTGCAAAAAGTTGGAACAGACAAAAAAATTAAAAAGATCAATCCGAAAACTTTTTTTTATAGCAAGATTTGCACACACATTTGAAATTTAAGATGACCTTGAGGTTGAGACATACTTTCTGTCTGAAAAATGAGCTTTTGCATGCAAACGTTTTCTAAAATAGGTCATTTGCTCTTTTCAATTAATTTAGTCAGCTCCAACTGTTTGCATCTCTCTACATCCTTTTTGATTATAGATCTTGACAAATTTAATTAATCTAAGACTGTTCGTTTAGACGACGGAAACAATTTTCCCCTAATTTCAGTACCAAAAAAAACAGTTAAAAAATCTTCTTAATCTATAAGCAACGTTTTTTTGACCGAGTAGGTTGCTCATGTTCGCGAAAACTGCCAGCTATTTGCCATTTTTTTATAGAAAACTATTGAAACATCGGATCAAATTGGAAATCCCCCCCCCCCCCAATCCGCGCTTTGGGGGAAGATAGTTCAATAGGTATTGAGGCATGCTCATAACCACTTGAAATTAGTTTCAATTGATGAAACCATGCACCAGATTCTCCAACGAATGTAGACTAGCAAACTTATTAAAACTGAAAACTAACTTAAGAGTGAAAAAATAGGACTAAATTATATGAATACAAAGCCGGCTTTTTTCTACCTTAACTGATGATAAATGTGTAACTACGTGACATTAATTAAGTAGCTGACGGGAGCAAATTTTGATATTTAGATACGAACGTCGAGTACAAACCCTGGTAACTTTTTTGATTTTTGAATTATTTGCGACACTCAATCAAAAAACTTCACTCGGTCAACTGAATACGGGGGGAGATTTCTCAATTGATCCGAAAACTCCGTTATCAAAATGCTCATCAGTGTTAGTTTTCAAAAGTTGATCAGCAGGGCCTAGTTCAATAAACAATATAATTCTAAAAAAGCAGTACTGAATTCAATGAATGGTTTTATTATTAGACTTTGTTGCATTTGTTTAAACAATTAAGTCATCCAATAGTTTGACATCATGACAATTTGTTCACATAGGTTATGAATGAAGACGGACACACCTCGAGCATCAGAGACAAGATTCTGACGATCACTGTGAAGCCTGGATGGAAGGCAGGGACTAAAATAACATTTCCCAAAGAGGGCGACCAGGGGCCAAACACGGTGCCCGCCGATATAGTGTTCATCCTCAAAGACAAGCCCCACCCCCGCTTCGAGAGAGTGGGCAACGACCTAATCTACACTGCCACTATACAGCTGGGAGAAGTGAGTTTGGATCATATAAACTATTTTCCCCCTATTGCAATGGGGGGGATAGTTAACAAGGTTTGGATGAAATTTATTGAAACAACGTCAACCAATAGGAATGGAATTGAAATAACGTCAACCAATAGGAATGCAACAGAACAAATTTCTGAGAAATACAAAGCAAATCCAGTTGAGCATAAATGAAATGCGTTTTTATAGGGGGGAGATTCTTTACAAGGTACCATAGGGGAGAAATAGTTAACATGATCCGTGAGTTTCTGCTTGTGCTTCTTTTGAACTTTTCTTAGATAAAAACAGCATATCTAATAAGAGAAGACGTAACAAAGGTCGGGACAACCTAGCTTTGTAAAAATGATAGACAAAAAGTGTCTTAAACACAAAGATCGTAAGCTATACGAAATTTCCAAAAATTGAATAAATACAATTTCAAAGCAACCAAACATTCCCAAATCATCCATGTTTATCTCGGCTCAATTGTTTCGGATAAATGCTTCAAATATTCGACGTTGATTTAAGATTTAAGATGAAGTGACTCGGAGAATGCCGTTGTCTGTTTTTCATTGAAAGCCAGCAATAGTATACGCTGCCCATATTCCAGTTTATGATTGTCATTCAAAGTGTTGCGTTTCAGGCGCTGACCGGGTGCAACGTGTCCATCCAGACCCTGGACAACCGGGAGTTGAACATCCCTGTGAACGAAATTATCACTCACGGATACCAGAAGAAGGTCAGTAAGTGTATCACTCGCACTAATGAACCATTCAAACACTTTGCCGCTTTGTCAACTCATTTTGGCTCGCAAGTTAACGAGTTTCTCTTATCCGTCAAAAATCGTTGCAAGAACTACCAGTTAGATTATTTGTTGGGTGAAGTAATTTAACTGTTTTGGTTTTGAAATATTTGCAATATATTAAGATTTTCTTTATTTCCTGCATTTGCAGAAATGGAAGTAAGCTCATACCAAGACTGCACGTATCAGGTCTAGCCCCGAATGTTGCGACTGCTTTTTAACATGCCTAAGTGGCCTCAAAGGTTATCAATTAAAGGCAATCTATTTGGTTTTATTTGGGTTATACTCTAAAGGAGACTAGACCCATGAAAACTCAGTTTTAGGGTCTACTTAACAATCGCCCTCCCTTTGGTATCTCCTTAAGAATTGCCACGTCTATTAATAAAAGCAGTAAATTAGCGCTTTGTATTGAGAATTATAATTTTGCTACAATCTGATTGGTCGAAAATGCGTTAGTTTAATCTAATATACAATTGCCCTTTCTTAAAAGGGGGGGGGGGGGGGCAATTGTTAAGTAGATCCCAGTTTTGTTTCTGTAGGATATCCACATGACATTTATGTACTTTCTCTGTTTATCTGTTTAACAGAGTGTTTTATAAACTGATAATGCTTAGGTGTTGAACGAGGGGATGAAAATTTCGAACCCGCGGGATAGTGGCAAAGTAGTGGGAGATCTGTTTATCAAGTTCAACATAGTTTTCCCGCAGAGTCTAACGCCCGATAAAAAACAGCTGATCAAGGCCGCCCTCTTGTGACCATACAATTAAAGCTGTGACCATACAATTCACACGAAAACAGACCACACGTTAGATATGAGGTCATCTGAACACGGAAATAAATCGGCAAAAAATCTGCTAAAACAGAAATTCGTGGAAATATTAAATTCTTTTTTTTTATATAAAAATTAATTAAATTTTTTCTTTTCAGCATTGTATTGAGAAAGAGATGAAGCTGGTTTATGTAGGAAGCCAACACTGTCTACGGTCTTCTCAGCTGTTTTAAAAATATAAAGAAAAAACGAATCGGCGGATGAAGTCGCACAGCGTGAGATCCACTCAAAAGCCCAGCGTGAGATCCGCTCTTCTAAATTTTTTTTTACAAGAACAATATTAAGACCTTAGTGAAAGCAAAAAAAATGTAGAAGGATTGAAAATAAAAATTCATTTTTTATTGAACTAAAAAAACGGTCAGTGAAAAATCCTCATTTTCCATTGTTAAAATCTTAACGCATCTAACGCATGTAGCAAAGTCACCAAAGAACTTTTAGACACAAAGCGAAGCTGCGCACCACTTGCGATACAACAATTTTAGGATGAAAAAAATTATAAGATAAATTAAAAGCATCATGACGCTCAAAAATTAGCAAACAGGTCTTCGAACAAAGTTACAATTGACACAGGAAGTGGAAAAACAAAAAACGAGCATTCAAAAACTAGTGACAGACAGAGTCTTATCGATATCAAAAAACTGCCGGACATTTAAAGGAAAAAAATCGGTAAATAAACTGAAATAAAGCCGACAGTCGATTAGCTGAAACGAATAGCCAAACATTTTCATAAAAATCTTGGAAAAAATTTCATAAAACGCGTACACAGGATCAACGATAGCTGTAAAAATAGTGTGTTTAAAGTGGACTTCAGAATTTGAAAAGTAACCCGACAGAAGGTCGACAATCATGAAGACGGAAAATCATTAGCAGAAAATTAGTATCGAAACTGAATAATTATTCACAATGATTTGAGTTCTAGTAATAGTATATATCAGTAGTAACTAGTACCCCTAGTAGTTATATTTGAATTTCATTTGAATTTGAATACATAGCAGCATCATAAGTGATTACACTGATTTTGTTTAACTAGTTGTTAACCCGAAAAAAAGTCTATATTTCGATATGATAAACGCTTGATAATCGCAAGGGTAATAAAAATCAAAAAACAGATTAAAATATAGTACGAGAATTCCTTATACTTACGAGACTTACCTTCAAACTACCTCACATATTTCGTCATATGAGCTTCGGATCTATTTTTTTATTTGCGCCATGTATTAACTGGTTTGAAAAAATATCGGAATTGATAAAATAAGGCCTTGATAAACCATATGTATCAATTCTCATAACATTTTTCAAACCAGTTTATGAAAATATATCCTATTGAGACAGCCCGCATTTAAAAAAAATAGAAAAAAGGAAAAAAATCGATTATAATGGATTTTCTTTGTCTAAAATATTGTCAATATATAATCAATTCCTGTTACGCTGAGACCACAAAATTGGACTAAAAATCGATTTAAATCAATTTTTTTCTCGCAAAAACATAATGCATTATAGTTCATTTAAAATCCATTATAATGGATTATATAATAAGAAAATCACTTTAAAATGGATTTTTTTCCACTCTGTTTTTGTTTTGCGTGTGCAGAACTTTCAAAAATTTCTGCATGTATCAAATGAGTAATGCGGAAACTTTGCAAAGCGAAAGTACGTCCAACTACATTTCTGTACCTACACTCAAATTGTAAAAGATTCCGTTATTCTCTTACAACCTCCATCTCAACGTTTAACCCAATCCCCCCCCCCCCCCCCCTGCCCACACACACCTGAGACATCCCCCCCCCCCCCACCTGAGGGCGGAGCGGTTCAGTTTTTTTTTGGGGGGGGGGGGGGGGCAAAGGGGTAAACGCTTTGAGTTAATAGAAGGGGGATTAGCAATTCAGTTATTGAGTAACATAAAAAATTAACAAAAATATCAAAGTTGAGCAAAAAAAATTTAATTAAATAAGTAACCAGATTTAGCTTAAAACGTATAGAAGACTTTATGTGCGTTGAAAATCGCATCTCAGTTAGGTGCAAAAAAATCGATTATAATTGGGTTTCATTTTCGGTGTCCACAACAGTGAAAAAAATCGATTATAATGGATTAAAAATGGATTTTGTTGCTTCGAAAAATACTAATAATTTAAAACCAATTTTAATTTATTATAACCATTTTTTTTTCACTTTTCTGGACACTGACAATGAAACTCAATTATATTCGGTTGTATTCAAAGAACTCCAATGCGGGAAAACCAAGCTTTGTTTAGTTTAGAAAAATCAGTCGAAAAGAGGTAAAAGCAATCAGCTGAAAAAATGGAAAACTTGCAACATAACCCTGCGGGATTTCAAGCGATGTTCCAGTGCGACAGGGACAGGCCATCAGCGAACTGTAATTGTATTTGTAGCAATTGCTTTGACTTAAGCATAAATTGCGACAACACTTCGTCTGTTGACGACAAAGCAAAAAACCATTTACGCGACACTTGGAAAAAAATGAATATGAAAAAAAAACAATTAAAAAAACGTTCAAGGTGGAAAAACTGATAAAACATTTCAAGTCAGCCACTTAGAAAATTATGGAAAAGCCTTTTTGAAAATTTTAAACTTTAATATACGAGAATGTGTTATTGCTTCAATATCAGTCCGACTGATTTTTATACAGAAGGTACACTAATTATCAAATAAACCGGAACAACCGAGAAAAAAAAAAGAAAATATCAATGCAAAAACACAAGCGAAGCAGAGCTTCACACCATTTACGCTAGAGAGAGATATTTTCAAACGTTCGAAAGAAAAAATAATTAAATGAAACTGACCACTTATTCACTAGCTCAAAAATCCAATTGAACACAGACAACTGAACCAATCGCACGCCTTGAAATTATGTAAAAAAATACGACACAAAGTGAAAAACGTAAATAAAATCAACTGATTTCACAGGAAAACTTGTCCGTTGGACCTGGAAAATGTCAATAAAATTAATACAGCAATGTCCCTCGCCCCACTGATGTAGCTTCTAAGCTTAGGTTATTTTGTTCAAGGACCCTGAATTATTTTTTATTCAGTTAAGGAGCCAATCCAAAATTGATATAATTTGCTAACAAGGAACAGCATTCGAACGGAACAGCATTTTCCGATTCTTAGCATCTCAAACGACAAATTCTTCTCAGAAAAACAAATCAATTGTTCAAAAATTTCAGCTAAAATAAAAAAAATAATCGGAACATCGAAAGTGTGAAAATATTGTTTCCTCAAAACTGAGAGGAAACAAACGAAACACAAAAGAAAACAACTAAAATATTACCTCAAAAACGCGCCTATTGAAAAAATCGTACATTCAATTATATGCAGCAAAAAATATGTGCCACTTACAACGTGTCGCACGAGCAGAAGCACAAAGTTTCTACCAAAAAAAACTATTGTGAAACGACATACGAAAAAATCGGTGAATGACAAGGAGACGGGTCTCATCTAGACCGTGAACTCACAAAAAAGCAAAAAAAAACAAACAAAATGCATTTTGGAGGGTAATTGAACAAATAAGGCGGTAAACATAACTGTTTCACAACTTGCAAGTCCTCAAATCGAACGAAAATAAGACTAACAACTATAATAAATAAAGATCTAAATACACGGCACATAAATTTTCTTCTAATTGGATGCCTTGCTTTTGCTTTGTTTGCTTCACTGTCTCTCATAATTGCCTATTGAGCTCAATGTCCGGATCATGCCCGTCTCCTGGTCATTTCATTTTTAGTTTTTTATTTTTTATCAAGGAATATCTGCAGATTTGATTTTGAATTTTCAAAAATTACTTTTAACATTCCATTTACTTTCATCCGACTGAATTAGAAGCCTTTCATCCGACAGCATTGAAATTTTTTGAGTGACGAGAAAAAAAACGCGAATTTTCTGCGTTCTGGACTTGATAAAAAAATCAAAAGTGATTAAGTTCAATTGTTTGCTCATCTATATGAAATTAAGGAGTTTTGAATGCTGTATTTGCTCTATCAAAAATTTCTGAAGAAAACTAAATTTAATGCCTGCGTATACCTTCCTTCATTTAAAAGGAATCAAAAGATTATTTCGCTTTTCTTTTAAATGTTTTCCAATCAAGTTTTTATCCTAATTCGGGTTAGATAAGCTTGAATTCAAATTTGAGTTACAAAAAAGTCGCTGCATAGATTGCAATTGGGTTCGTTAAAAACAATAAGAATTGAGCCAAAGAGAAGTTCTTCAAAAATCTGCATACCTGTCAAAATTTCAGAACAAAAAAAAATTAAAAGAAGGGTGCTTTCGGTTCGGTTGCATTACCGATTTCTCAATTCTGCGAACAACTGTATGGAGCGCAGTGCGAGAACACTATGGAGAATTTTCCTGTTTGAGGTGATGTGCTGAAATTTCCAGCAATCTCCAAAAAATGACGAAACAATTTTGAACACAGAGGCGAAGTTGCGCTTCGCATACACAATATGACCGACAACGCAACTGGGAAAAGCTGAATGAGTAAAACTTTGAGTCAACAAAATTTCTTAAGTGACGCACGCCAATTATGAGTCTACATAACTGTTAAGTGACACAAGTCAATTATGACGCATTAGCAGTACCAGTCAATTTGAAAAGAAATTTACCAACTAACACTACCTCAATTTATAGAGCGGACGCATTTTAACTAGTATACGAAAAAGTTCATTACAAACATGCGACCCTTCTGAGGTTCGAACCCTCTTATTTTGCTGCTGGTCTTTTTCCCTACATCTACGCTACAGAGCCATAACACCTTGAAGCTAAAGTGCTATTTGTAATACAATGGTGTGTGTTAATATCCTTAGCATTTGCTGTACTTAATCGCTGGTTATTGATCTTATGCATATACTGCAATAAAATAGCACTTTCAAAAAGAGCATTAATAATTGCGACTTAGGTTGGAAAAAAAAGAGTTCGTTATAACACACAAGCTTTGCCTGTGTAAAAATAAAACGGTCCTGTTTCTAGGCAAATTAAGTAGTGACATAGTATTAACCACAAAAATCACAATTTAAAAAAAATTCTGCCGTTTTTTTGGGCATTAAAGCTATCACTGAGACATTTTTTGAATTTCTTTTTCATCAA